GATATTTCAAATATTGGCAGGGTCACCCATGGTGGACAGGTTTCAGCGGAGCTTCCAGACTAAGACAGAAAGAAAGGCCGGCGATCTACTTCCGAAAATTAGCCAGTGAAACCGTATGAATCACAATAGAATAGTGTCCAAAATAGAGCTGGAAAATGAGCCCTCTAGGTTGGAAGACACTCAGAATATACAGTGGCCCCAGCAAGGGACTGGAGCCTGCTGGTGATCATGAAGATGGCACAGGACCAGGAAACGTTTTGTTCTGTTATACATAAGGTTACCATGAGTTGGAGCCAACTTGACAGCAACTAACAACAACAACAACAACATGTTAGAGAGTTATTGTTTGTATGACAGAGTCATTATGGTAACTCAGAAGAAAATGTAACTGATTGAGAAAGAACCACAATCAGCTTAGCGAGCATGCCTCTGGGATCAGGTCCGGTCCTTGTCCCTTTGTTGATCTCCTTTACAACCTCAACTATCATCCATATTCTCACTTTCCTAAAAGATGGCAAAAGTGGTACTCATCTCTCTGGCCTCAGGACCCGAATGAATGAAGAATCAAACACAGAGATTTCCTTTATTCTTACTTCCAGTTCTAAGAAACCATGTTCTTTTTTTATCCAAGCACTAAAACACTACAAGATTGCTTGTACAGTCGTGAGTTTGACCTCCAACCTTCTCCACCAGGTAAGAATTATAGCTACACAATGGCTGCATACACCTGTCAAGTATGAATGCCAGGAAGTGGGCCCAGCATATAGTACTTGCCTTGAGAACGATTCCCTTTCTCAAGTGCCCAAATGTTTTTCTAGGATACGCTGCTAAATTATATCTATGTGAAGGTTGGATTTGTAACTGGAAGATTATAAAGAATGGTATTTCTGTCATAAGGTGTTCTACACAAAATGTAGGTTGCTCTTTGCTAACAATAAGTACTATTGTTTTACAGTTAGGTTACCCCTAAGTTTCTTTTGGGGAAGGGATAAGTTTCGAAGAGGATAAAGGTTGTCTCATCCAATAGGAAACAAGTATCATGGAAGTTCATGCTCTTGGTTGGAGATGCAGCAATGCCCTTGCACATGCTTGTTGTTAGTTTTTGCAAAACCTACAGGGCTGGCAGGAGGCTGTTGGGTCCTAGTGATGCCAGAATGGCTTGAGTTGGTAGGTGAGGAATCTTCAGCTTTGTGGTTGCTCAGACATGGCAGTTAGGATTAGTGTAGCGACTTGGAATCCAATCAGGCAGACAGACCTTCCTCTTGAGTCCTAGACAATGGAGCCAGATGATTGTACTGCTGACCATTTGGGTAGGGTTCCATCCACATGCAGGGATTGGTGAAACGACCCAGAACACCAAATTGGCCCTAAAGACTGGCAACCCGAGCTCTGTGTAGAACCTGTAGCTTCTAGGTCTGCTCCTTGGCACCCTCTCCATTTCAGACAGTGGAAGGCCCTCGCATTCCTGTCCTGGTCTGAGGACATGGTGCTGGTCTGAGCTGGAAGCTGCTCTCATTTCTATATGGACACACCCACCCATCAGTGCTGTTCCCTGAGGTCATGGGGGAAGAGCCCTGTGCTTGACTCCTGGGTGCAGAGGGAGTGTGGGGCTGGGTACTGTGAGAATAGCTGACCTGAACCAGCCCGTGTCTAGGGCCTGGTCTCCATCAGACTCCTCTGGAGGACTTGCAACTTGGGGTTTAATGCCGATTCATCCTGGTGAATCTGTGAAGCTGAGCCACATAGTTGCATCTTCCTCAGCTAGCTGCTGAGCTCTCATGGGCAAGTATTTCGTTTTTAATTTGGCAATGTTTACTACACTGTATGAGTGTAGTGTGAGACATAGGTACAAGATAAGGTGACGACTTTAAGGAGGGAGGGTGACCAGCTCTGCAGATGTTAGTACCAAAGATGACTTCCCAGAGAGGAAGCATTGGAGCTGGATATAAAATAAGTAGGAGTTTACCAGTGAGTCTTTCTAGGTAGACAGGACAGCATGGATGAGGCCTAGAAAAACAAATGCATGGTCAGCTCAGGGGTTTATATGACTGAGCTTTGCTGTCTAGGATCTGGCATTATTTTTATCCATTGTGTTGAGGCAGGCCTGGTGGTTAGTTGCATGAGATTGGTTAGTGGTCCAGGCCAGACATCCAGGGAGTGACCAGCGGGCCCAGCAGGTGGTCCGACCAGAGCATCTGAGATGTGAGGCCATTGGTTGTTAACTGGGGCATGGGTGCAAGGGGTGGGATTGGGACCACTCCCAGCCCTGGGACTGGGTCAACTAGGAGCATCAGCATGGTGAAGGCAGAGTTCTTCTGTGTGACCTGGGTCCTGCAAGGGGGCCTTGGAACCTTGTTATCAGGTGGGAAGCCCTGACTTAGAACAATTGGGATTGTGGCCAGCATGAGGGCTCTTGCTCAGGTACCACTAACAGGGAACATGCTGGTATCTAAGGGAACTGGCAGTGCTTTGCCACTTGCTGTCACCAGCCTAGCTTTGGCTGGGAACTAGGGCAGGGCTGGGCCTAAGATAAGAGTGACTAGGAACCAGCATGGGGCACTGGTGGAGGCAGAAGTAGGTGGCAGGAGGTGAGGCCTGAGAGGGACATACTCATGGTGCTCCTGCCTCTAAGTATCAGCTCAGAGTTTTGAAAAGTGAACAGATCTCCAGAAAGTCAGATCAGGATTTCCAAATATGTAGTGACAGTAGAACTCACAATCAGATTCTGGATAAGGTTGAACCTTCAAGAAAATAGCAAGCCAGCCTGTGTGCATTTGTTTTGAGCAGAGCTCTGTGGCAGGGAGAGTGAAATTGGAGATCCAGCGAGAGTAAGACGTGTGCTGTTTCCAGGTCAGTGATCTCTTCCCCATTTGCCAGGATCCTGTCCCTCATGCACAGAAGAGCTGCTGAGGTTGACGCAGGGCCAGCTGCCTCGGTGCCTGACACCTTCTTAATTGTGCAGTCTCCGCGTCTTGCTCTGTGGTCTTGCTGCTTTCCTGGAGCCCTACCTGGGGCATGGCATAGGACTCAGTTCTCTCCTTCTTCCAAATTCCTAAACCCAAATGGTGTTTTCTACTCCCTCACCCTGGAGTACAGCCTGAGTGGGGGGTGGGTGCTACACTGCACCGTTTTCTCAAGGACAGGCACTAGTAACTGGCCATCTCACTCTTCTTTGCTGTACTTCCCTTTAGATGGGATGATGTGTATCTTATCTGCAGCAGGGAGCCTGGCTCGCCATCATGTAATCCACACCATCTGTTCTTTATGGCTTACGCCCAGAGTCCTTCTGGTTGAAGGCTTTTGAAGTGCAATAAACCATGTCTCTTGAAACTCAAGGTTTCCGCTTTTAAAACTCAGAAACCTTTTCTCATCCTGCTTGCTAGATGAATCTACCCTTGAGGCAAGGATGCTGTAGGCTGAATGGGGCGGGGTGGGGGGGATGGGTAGGAGGTCAGAAGTAAGCAGGAGAACAACGACAAAGAGAAACACTGGTCTTTGACGCTAAAGAGCCTGTTGTGCCAAAACTGCTTCTCAAAAACATGCTGATCAATTTTTGTTGTAAAACTGATGTTAACTTCTAAGGCAAACTGGGTCAAGATTTTGTTCTGGGCTACTCCAGAGTTTGATAAAGTTTCCTTTCTTTTCTTCTTTGCCCAGTGCGCGTGCACGCGTGCACGTACGCATACATGCCTAAGACCTGACTCCAGGCAGGTCAGCTTTGTTCCAGTGCCTGAGAATTATATTCGTTTAAATAGAGATTGAACTTTTGCTTCATGAAATAACTAGGCCATTCAGTGGAGATTTTACTGTTATTTTCTTTACATTAAGGAAGCAGCTGTGAGTGTGGTCTGTGTCCCTTACGAATGATGTTTGAATCACGAATGTGGACTGGAAAGTCACCCCAACCTCCCTGCCCTTGTGGAAGCAGGAGATTTAGCTTGACAACACCCCCCACCTCCCATTCCCATTGTCTTTTAAGTGCGTATCCCAATTCAGTTCCTACTTCTGGTGGCTGGGTCTGCATGCTGCCTAGTCCTGGGTTGGCCTAGATGAGAAATCTCCCATTGGGGGTTTCTAGGAAGTATTCCATCCACACCAAGCCCTACCTGAGTTACTGTGGCAGGATTCAATTGGCAGTGCACAGCCTTTCCAGAGCAGAACGGATATTATGCTTGGTTTAAATGGCCCCAATGGTAGATCTTGGGCCAATGGGTGAAAAGCACAGAGAGGCAGATTGAAGCCCACTATACAGAAGAACATCATACCACTAGACAATGGAAGGGAGTGGCACACCATGGGTTCTGGAGTCAGGAAGCCCAGTGGGAATAGTAGTTCTGCTTCTTAGGAATGGCCAGCCCACGGAAAGTTGCCTAACCCCTCTGAGTCACAGTTTCCTCATCAGTTAACACGGACAATAATTTCAGTAGCTATTTTTTAGAGTTGCTGTGAGAATTAAATGAGATCATGTCCGTGCAGCTCCTGGCAGTGTGCCTGGCCCTGAGAATAGTCTGCATTTCTCCTCCCTTCACCCTTTCCCTTCCTTTCCTGTTCTGCCATTTTCGTAACTGGAAACATGGGCACTGATCCTCGATAGGTTGGGCGGCTACTTGGCAAGGCTGTGGAAGAGGGGTTTGTTTAGGCGATGAGTGGTTGGGCAATAATTCAGTGGTGATGTATTAACTTTAAAAAAAAATTAAAAAAATAAACGAAGAACTTTTCTTCAAAAGAAAGCTTAAAGCCCAACATGTAGACCGCTAAAGAACAGAGCTGCTCTGGGTAGTGTTGAGTGGGAGGGTAGCGAAGCCCTCCTGTGTGTTTATACCTGAAAGGAATCTGCTCAGCACCCAGGGCTCCCGTGTCTACACTTGAAAAACCACTGCACTGGAATATTTTTTAACATCCCTAAAACACTTCACAGGAAGTCTGGGGGAGGAGAAACATGCGTGTGTCTGGTAAGGACGGCTCGAGGAATGACCTGACTGGATGGGCTTGTGTTTCAGGTGTCTCCCTGTGAGCGGTGTCGCTGTGAAGCCAGCGGCGAAGTGCTGTGCACAGTGTCCGCGTGTCCTCAGACAGAGTGTGTGGACCCCGTGTACGAGCCCGACCAGTGCTGCCCGATCTGCAAAAACGGTATGTGAGACGCTGTCTGATGTGAGTGTGCCTCACACACAGTATGCCCATGAGTTCTCCGCTCTGCTTCCCAGTAGATGAAATACTTGCAAATATGCGAGTTTAAATATGTGTACACACAGGCTCACATACACATATATGTAATCTTGAGGCCACAGGGAGTTGTTCCGCGGTGAGGCATTCTCTCTGTTATTAGTTACAGAAGTTTGAAGTTCTTTAGGGGAGAAATTCAATTTCCACCGTCCAGGAGAGTCACTTATTTTAATGTAACTTTGTTTGTACTTGCAAAGCAGTTTCTCACTTTCCAAGACAAATCAAACATGCTGGTTGGGCTCATTTACTTCTCATTACTAAGCGAATTAAACTTGGAGGATAATTGAATATTTTTCATAAGCAAATTAGGCAGGAAGAGAGCCTCCTTTTATTCTCAGCGAGAGTGGTGGTGGATCAGAAGCCTGTCTGCATTATGAAAAGGAGATGGCAGGATGTCCTTGATCATAATTTATACAGGGGGAGTGTTTTGTCATCCTGGATGAAGAGAATTACTTCATACCTAAGGACTGGGAGCCATTCTGGGCACACACTTTTAAGGTATTCTGCCTGGGCTTAAGAATTATTACTTGAGAGGTGTTTGAAAAACTATTTGAGTGTAGTTTGGAAGACTGGACTCAGAAGACACCGCCACAATTGTCAGGTATTGGAGATTCTTTCCTGGCAAGAGGGATTGGGCTTTTTCTTTCTTGTCTGAAGGCATGAATCTAGGACTTATCAGTGGTCTGAAACAATTCTAGTAGCTGTGGTCTGAGCATCTCCGGGGGGGACTTCCCTGTTGGTGAAGCATTTCACGTACCCTGCTGTTAACCACAAGTTTGGTGGCTCGAGCCCACCCAGAAGTGCCTCAGAAGAAAGGGCTGGTAATCTACTTCCGAAAGATCACAGCCATTGAAAATCCTACGGAGCACAGTTCTACTCTGACGCACATGGGGTTGCCATGGGTAGGAATGGACTCAGTGGCAGCTGGTTTTGGTTTTTGAGCATTTCAGAGAAGGAATGGGTTAACCTGTGAAGTTTTCATTTCTTCAGTTGTGGGGTCATTAGACCAAAGCTCGATAACCCTGTGATGTGGGCTCTGTAGGGGGGAGACATAGGATAGATGGTCAGGCAGGGATGCTATTAATGTCTCAGGCAACTCTGAGATTCTACAGTCGCATCAATCAAAATCGTGTGGTCTCTGAGCTTTTGACCAGGTATCCACAGACAGATTCACTACAACAGATCATCAAACTGGTGAAGTAAATAAATTGAAAAAGAAATAAATGTGATGTTGAAGAAGGGTAACGCTGAGAAAACAAGATAACTGTATTAGAGTGTGAAGGATGAGTGTAGTAGTTATGGAGACAAGGTCTGTGCAGTCTGCTGAACGTATGTGATGTGTAAAAATAAAGATATTACAGAGTATACTTTTTATGGCGTTTGCTGTTCCTTTATGTGTATTGATTATGAGAAACGGAAATCATGAGGTATGATTCCATTAGACCCAGAGAGAGGAGACTTTTGAGCATGGACCAAGTGCTTTAAAAAAAAAACATGAAAAGTCTCAATACAACTGTAAATGGAGGCAGTTAGTGCAATTTATCTTCCCTCTTGTTGGTTGAAATAACAGTGGGGAAACAACTTGAGGGTTGGAGAGGAAGAAGCAGGTGGAGAGGCTAGAAAGGTTACGTTGGGGTGTGGAGTTAAGTAAGCCTGGTGAGGAGCCCTGGGTGGTGGAGACAGTTGAGTGCTCGACTGCTAACTGAAAGGTTGGAGGTTTGAGTCTACCCAGGGGCAATCTACTTCTGAAAAATTAGTGATGGAAAAATCCTGTGGAGCACAGTTCTATTCCGAAACACAGGGGGTTGCCATGAGTCATAGATGACCCTATGGCAGTTGGTTTCAGCTGGTTGGTGAGGAGTCTGAATTGGTGCCTTAGAGTCTGTTAACAAACAATTATGGCCGATGTTAGGGCTGCACCCTGAATGTGCGGGATGGGACTGGAGAAATAACCTCTCATTTAGTCAAATGATACTTAGTGAAAGGTTTAAATATGGATTGCTCATATAGTCGATGTCTTAAGTATCCAGAATACTTAACATTCTCTTGTTAATTGTGCTAAGAAACAAAGTTTTGGCGTTAATTAGCTGGGGGATCCCAGTTTGGGTGTTTGCAAAAGATAAGGAGACATGATTTTAATTTCCCAGGCTTTTTTGTTTGCCTTTTCCTTTAGAAAAATTTCAACTCTACAGAAAGGTGTAATGATACGTGCAATGAACACTTGTATGCCCTTCGCTATATTTAATTGTTGTTGACACTTTGCCATATTTGCTTGATCCCTATGTTTGTCCCCGTCCTTGCCTTCCCATCTCTCTACATAAACCAATACCATCATATATTTACTTATTTTTTCTCTTCCGTAATACACACAGGGTAGCTTCTACCTATACCACCACCAACATGAAATCTCTACTAGATAAAGTTCAAAATTTCTTTGCCGTTTTTTTTTTTTCTTTTAGAATATATCCCACTAAGGGTATAGAGACAGAGAACTATGTTAAAAAATTATTGGAATTAATTCTTTAAACCTGGGTGGGTATGTTAAAATTTTATAACGATTTAGTCATTTTCTTGGGTTTGTATTTTTTTGTCATTTAATGTATAATTTTATGTTTTGAATAAGTAAAAAATATCCAAAAGTAAAATCTGTATAAATAAGGTATATTCAGAGATTCACAATATGTTTTCATATTGCATTGATGGTTTGGGGGGAGAGGAGAAGGTTACTGCCTTGATAGTAAACTTCTAAATATTCTTCTGTTACTTCTGTACTTTGGAGGGCAGCAAAGGCTGAAGGATTTTTGTGGTGGCACATCTGAGCAGATTCTTAGAAAGAGGATAAACATGTTATCTTTTAAAGATCGTATTTCCCATATAGAAAGATCAGTTTTAAAAGGTTCGATCTAATTATATCAAAACATCAATGACATGTTACTTTCAGAATATACCTAAAAATAAATGTAAATTTGTATAATCATGTAAATACTACTCAGTTTTGTTGTAACATAGTCATCAGATAGAACTTGGTGTTCAGCTACCTCTAGTTACAGGGTATTCTGACCTTGACAGGGCAACTGCTGTTTGGAATTCTTAGTCAAAGAGATTTGCTTGAAAAACAAAAACAGTTTCTATCAGAAATGAATGCTCTGTAATAATTCGCACAGTTTAATGAATCATTTACAGTAGTCTAACCTTCCTCCCCTCATGAGAAAACAGTGTTTTGGTAAGAAAAAATTATATGTCTGATATATCACAGATTAGAGGACATCAAAAATTGATGCTTTATATGAAATTAAATGCTTGGATAGACTTAGCTTGGGTGAAATAGGGAGGTTTTAACTCTTGATCTCAGCAGGCTGCCCTTTGCTCCTCACACTCTAATGTCTTGACATACAGAATTAAATAGCTCTTTCTCCCAGCAGAGGGAAAATTACAGTTCACTTGCTAGCTGCCAAAGTCACTTGCATCAAAGAAGCAAAATTTTGAAACCAAGAATGTCTTAAATATAAATAAATGATCACAAATCAAATACAGCATAATATATTCACTTTGTTGACTTATATAGATCAATCTCCCAAAGTTTTTCTTTTGATAAATTGGATGTATATGTGGCAATGCCCTTTTATATTTTTATTTTTCCAGTGATACAAATAGTGAGTGCTATATTGACTTTCAAGAATTCAGGTTTTCTCTGGTAATGGATGTACTTCAAACATTTCAGGACATAATCCCTTCAACTCCCTTAGTCTTAGACGTGCTTGTGAACATTAAGTGAGGCACAACGCTTCCAGGGCTTAAACATTAGAGATCAGAAGACCTCCCTTCTGTATGCATGTGTGCATTCTTACTTTATGGATACAAAGAAAGAGAGCTAATAAAATTAGGGCATTGGTGTTGAAATGTGAGGACCTCATAGGGATTAGTGTCTTGGGCTAGCTTCCCTAGAGAAGCAAAACAAGTGAAGCATGTGTGTATATATATACAGAGAGAGAGACACAGAGAGAGAGAGAGATTTATCTCAAGGAAATGGCTCATGTGGTTGTAGAGGCTGACAAGTCCCAAGTCCATGGCTCAGGTGTCAGACTGGAGGCTTCTCCTGACTCACATAGCTGCAGGGGCTAATGAACCTAAGATCAGCAGGTCAGACAACAGGCCTTTGGCTCACAGGCTGCAGAGTTCCACGAATCCCAGTATCGGCAGGTAAGCTGCTAGCTCAGTTCCCAAGAACCAGAGGTCAGATGATGACGAGCCAGATGCAGGATCCAGAGCAAGCAAAAGCCAAGGAGCTTTTCCAGAAAGTCCATATATCTTGGATGCAGGCCATACTCACAAGGAACTCCCTTTTAGCTGATTGGCTGCTCATAGCAGATCTCATCATGGAGGTGATTACATTATATAAGATCTCATCATGGAGGTGATTACATCATTACATAACTGCCAAACTACATCATAACTGCCAAACCACTGAGAATCATGGCCCAGCCAAGTTGACACACAACCTTAACCATCACAATTAGCTGTGCTTAAAAGTGGAATATAGTACCCCAAGGCTAGATATGATGTATACCAATAGCACAAAAACATTAGATACAAAGATCGTTTAGCTCCCTAAAGTACCCAGTAGTGCTCTTTGACAATATTTATTTATAGCTTTATTTTCATGAGAAAATAAATTTTTAAAGGAAAGGGAAAACTAATTATGAATTCTTTGAAGATAACCACTGAGACTTCAAATTATTTGAAGCAGCTTCATGGAAAATATGTGAGAAGCACTGACTAAGAAGTAGGCAGAGTTTTGTTTCGCTTTCCTATGTTTTTCAAAGAGTAGAAGGATCAGATCATAATCAAACCTCATTTAGACAGACCTGAAGATATGTGTGTGAGTATGTGTTTGAAGGTGTATGTGG